CCTAGCATGCTTCCGTAACATTTCTAGAACAAGAGAATACATGCCACGGAGAGATATATTCTTTTCTACTGCTACGCAGACTAGTTGCTGCAATCATATTCAAAGGTCAAACCGTGTCCGACTACTTGTGGTCTCGACGCACGATTTTTCCTCATACTCGCATGGTCTGCGTCTCCACTGGCGCTGCTGGCGCTGTGAAGCTGTGGAGACCCCCAACAGATGGCAGACAACCCTCACACAACAGGATCATCTTTCGCAATCTTCGCATGCATTCCCCACGAGGAGCAGCCGCTTTATTATAGCCAGCCAGTCGCCCGCGTGGCCAAGTGGTCCATCCAGTCAAACGAAGCAACCCTACAACAACAAGAAGACGAAGGCTACGAGTAGATTTGCGAGCCTACGTTCCCTGTTGTGCAAAGGTGGAGGAGGAGGCAAGGGCAAGTTTGCAAGGCAGGTGGTTCAATGTGAAAGCTGGTTAATGACCTGTTCCAGTTGAATTGGACTGGTTTCGAGCTTTGATCGATACTACAATGCTATGTACTGTAACTACTGCTCTGTAGCATGGAACAGGGTTTTCGCCTGATTGAGAGCGGAGTATACGATTGAGAGCGGGAGCCAAAAAATTGAAATTTCCGGTCCAGACGCCTCTTGCCATTTCTTGGGAAGTAGGGGGCGGGCTCTTCCAAGAAGCGGCGCAAATTGAAGGTCTCATCAGCAGCGTCACGAGCATATGCGTGTCATCGCGATCGGATGCTGCAGCTAGGAGCTAGACAAGTTGCTAGATTTCCCCAGATTGGCTATTCCTGCCTCAAACTGTTTCAGGGCGATTTGATCGCGGGCGGTGAGCTCTGCTGTAGACTCTGCTCCCCGCTGTAGCTCCACAACGAGAGACGCCCACAGGATGACCAGGGTATCGGCTTGTAGCTACGGGCTAGGCCTTCAATTCAAGTCACGCAGCAAGCTCAACCTCTCAGCGGTAGTCCAGCTACAGCGCATCGCGCAATCTCGCTCTCGATCAGAAACTTCGCTCTCAATCACACGAAAACCTTGTTATAGGCGCTACGCGAACTAGGCTGCTTGTTTCCGTGTGTTCCTGTAGTAGCACGACTGGGTGAGTATGGGCCGGCATCGATGACGAGGAGTTGGGTAACGAGAGTGAGGCACGTTTGCCATCCATGTACTGCCTGAAAAACTTCATAATAGTTTTTTTTTTTTTGTGAAAAGTGTGGCCCATTAGGGGTACGCTTTTTGTTTTGTTTTGCAAAAAAAAGCTGTTAAATAATAGTTTTTTTTTTGAAAAAGTGTGGCCCGTTAGGGGTACGCTTTTTGTTTTGTTTTGCAAAAAAAAAGCTGTTTAGAGGGATCGTGTGTGGAGTATGTTCGCACGAGAAAAAGAATAATTTTCATGCACAGGGGCGTGAAAATTTAGCCATGGCTGTCTGTCGGGTGTCTGGTGTCTGTCTGCGCGCCCTAAATAGTTTTTTTTTTTTGTGAAAAGTGTGGCCCGTTAGGGGTACGCTTTTTGTTTTGTTTTGCAAAAAAAAAGCTGTTTAGAGGGATCGTGTG